TTGAAAATAAATTTTGTGAAAAGTGATTCTTTTTTTTTTTTTTTTTTTGAAAAATTTGTGATTAAAAAATAGGAAAAATAATGGTTTCACATGCAAAATTATTTTATTGATAGAATTTGTGGTTGAAAATAATTTTGACAAAAATGAATTTAAAGGAGCTTAATCTAAACCACAGTATTACCAAATACCACCTTCAAGCCACACAATTTGACATTAAATATATTTTCTTCAAGCAATTTGGTCATCTAGAAGAATGCTTCAAGGTGTAATTGGAATCAAAGTAGATGTGTATTAATTAATACCCAACTTGGCCATATGCTTTAAAACATGTACTCCTCGTAAGATATAGACCAGGCATGATTAAAAGAAAAGTAAAATTAAAAAAATAAAAATAAAGAGAGAAAATAAAAGTTGTAGAGGAAATTAATTATTCTCAATTTGGTCCTTGACATTTTGTTGAGCTTGTCTTGAGTGTTCTTAATTGATTTGTTGATAACCGTGAAAGTTATTAAGAGATAAATCTCATATAGATAATTATAAAAATATAAATCAACATATAATGATAACAACGTTGATATTTTAAAATGAAACGACAAGGCTTAGTTATAAAACTCCGAGCCCTCGATCAAATCATTTCTTGTGTTTTGACTTAATTAGTGTTTAATTCTAGTTGCTTTATAATGTCTCATACCTAACATTCATCCTGCTTAAACTATACATGAGATTATCATCGTTTGCAGCCACTTGAAAAGTGACCGTGCTCGAAATAGTCAATCAAAATTTATAATGAAATTGACTTAGTAATTCCCTAATTTACGTCCCTATTTGACAATCATTATTTGAAAACTCTTTTTTCTACATTTTCATTTCAATCACATAATAAAATATTATGTACATAAATCCAAATTTTTCTTTACATACATATATATATATTACATGTTCCAAATCCTTAATTGTTTGGAAAAAATAAAATTTGGTAGGTTTTGACATTTGGTTTTTGTTTAGTAAAAAAAAAAAAAAAAAATTCAAAAATCATCCATAACATGATAAAAAATGAAGTGTTGTGATCCTAATGAAAGGTTATAATTCTTGGTAAAGCATTGTTTCACGATCTATATATAGGATTGATGATTCCTGTTTTTGATACACTTTTTGAGAAATCATTTTGACATTATTTCTTGAGAATGTTCGTTTGTCCCTTTGATATTTTTTTTTTCTTATGTTAAACATGTTTTTGAGTGGTGAGGGGAGGGGAGGGATGGTACCAACCCTTGAACACTTGATCTTGATTGTCCATGAAGTTGATAAAGAAACAATTAAAATTGAAATTGCTTTAATATTGTTTGTGCATTGTCGAAATCATATAACAATCTTATAATATTCGAAAGTTTGAATATTGAATTTCTTAAATAAGTGCTAAATGCTGTAAAGTCCATATTGTATTTGACTTAAATAGAGAAATCGAATTTTGTTTGATTAAAAGGATGCTTTAAATAAAAAAGATCGATTGTGTTCACATGCATTCTGTAATTGTAAGAATCACATTTGGTCATTTCTAAAGCACATCACTAGTAGGTCTCTTTGAATTTCGTATAAAGTGATTCATTCTTTTGATTGATAAAATTATTGAGTCATATATTTTGCTATTAGTTTCTGCTATGATGTGTACTAAAGGCTTTGTTTAGTCAAATATTATTGGGATAGGGGCAGTAGCCAATTTCTAAGTCAACAATAATGAAATCACAACCAAACACTTGAAACATCAAGATCTTGAGTGTTGGGTATTTTAGTGATGTCCAAATAATCCCTAGGCGATGATGAAAAATCGTGGCCAGTTAAATTCATATGCTATAAGCCCAGAATTGAAGAATATCATTTAATTCACACCGTAAAGAGTTGGAACCCAATTGTGTTGGGTGTTTTGAGGAAATCAGCCCATTAGGGTCGGGTGCTCAATACCAGTTTTGGAAGATAACCTTGAAGAACAGATTGGATGCACTTGGTATCCTTATCCTCTATTTCTCTATCCTTGATAACTAATTTCATA